GCTGGAGGTGTGGCAGTTCAGAGTTCAAGGCCTTGGTCACCAGGTGGTGTTCAGCTATGGGATGGCACTTGTTAACGTATGTTCCATAACAGCGCCTCCTTCTCTTCCCCCTACTATGCTGTTCCTGGGTACTTCAACCATCTATGTTCTTTTAAATATACTGGGAATCTAGGTGCCAGCTTCTCTGTCCCCCTGTCCACTTCCCTCTATATTCCACTTCAGTGCACAGGACTTCCTGACACCCCAGGTTCTGAAGTGAGGCAGGGGGGAGGGGGCTTGATGGCAGGAGATGGAGTCATGTGGGGGCTGTTGATGACACCCCAACATCCCAACTCTTCACTGCCTGCCTCTGGGTCTCCTTGTTGGGTACAGAGCCTGAGTCTGAACTGTGACTGATAGGGCATGCCATGGGTTGTTGAGGGGGGCATAAAGCAATGTTGGATGTGGTCCCTCTCTGTGCTGGCTCCCCTAGGCTTGGGAGGGGTGACCTTAGGTCCCAGTCAGTGTCCAGGGAGGCAGGTGAACTACTCTCTTGGCAGTCCGTCTTGCCCCAGGGCCTCCACCTAGCACCACCTACCCCCATAGGTCCTCTGGTGCCCCTGCCCACCACTAGGTGGCACCAAGTGCCCTGAGACTTTGGGGGAGTTGCCCCAGAAGGGAGGCAGGCTTCTCAATCCTTCTGATTCTGGTTCCTCTTGGGGATCCCACCTCCCATTGCCTCCCCCGACCCTGAATGATCATGGCAGCCCCAAGAGCTCAGCTCTCCGCTAAAAGGTTTTCATACATTCCCTTAGGTAACCTCACACGCATCACAAAGTCTTGATGTGGTAGACTCCATTATTGTTCCCATTTTACAGATGAGAAACCAGAGGTACAGAGAGGTTAAAGTGAAATACTCAAAGTCATACAGCTAATGAGAAGCAGAGGCAGCACTAGAAGTTGGGCCTGCCTGACTCCATTCATCATCACTTTGTCCCTAAAGCTCTCCCATAAAGGCCAGGGGAGCTCTGAGTGCCCCAGAGCGGGCCAGAGGCTCACTGAGATGGATGGACTGAGGGGTGCAGTGGGGGAAGCTAGGGCATGACCACAGAATTGAAGGGGAGATGGAAGAGTTCGGCTCCCATCTGATCTCCACAACAGCTGCCAGATGAAGGCCCCAGGAAAAGGAGGAAGAGTACAGAAGGTCAGAACTGGAGGGGGCTCTCAGTGTGGGAGAGACAGACAGACCCTCTGAGTGCTAGCGAAAAGCTAAGGGAAGCTTGGGGGTACACAGGATGGGGAAGAGCCATCCCAGATGGGCCAAGGTGATGCTGGCTTTGGGAGACCCCTGTTTTTGAGTGCTTAGGGTATGTGCAGGTCAAGCTCAGATTGGGGGTCTGGTTCTGGCAGTATTGGGAACTGGGCATGCCTTGAGGTCTCTGGAGCAGAGCAGTACAGGCCACGGGACCAAACATGCCCTAGCCACGGCTCACTGCCAAGTAGGAGCTCTGTCTACCAACCCTTCCATCAACAGATCAGGTCTGTGTGTCAGGTGCTGGGGACATTTATGTAAACAAGAGCAACAAGGACCCTGCCTTCTTGTCACATACATTTGTTCTAGTTTGGAGGTGACTGGAAATAATCAAGGAAGCATAAAACAGAGAGAAGACAAAAGTGATTGAGGGTCTAGTTTAAATCGGGTGATCCTACAGGTCTTATTGGGGAGTCCTGGTGTGGCGCTGTGGGTTAATGCGCCAGACTGCAAAGCCATTTGAACTGCAAAGTTGGCAGTTCAAGCTCACCAGCTGCTCCTCGGAAACCCTGTACAGGGTCGCTATGGGTCAGAACCGACTCGACGGCACTTAACAACAACAACACAGGACTTATTAAGGAGCTCTGGTAGTGTAGGGGTTACAAATTGGGCTGCGAACCTTAAGGTCATCAGTTCAAAACTACCAGCTGTTCCGTGGGAGAAAGATGAAGCTTTCTGCTCCCTTAAAGATTTACAGCCTCGGAAACCCTGTACAGGGTCGCTATGAGTTGGAACCAACTGCACGGCACATAACCACCACCACCACAGGACTTGTTGGAGTAGGCATCTTACTCCTGCCTTCATAGCTGGGCTCCCGCCATTCCTTCTGCCACGTAAGTTTTTTCTCTGACCTTTACTTTTTACTGTGAATTGGGTGAAGTTTCACTGAGAAGATCAGTTTTCTATTCAACAATTCATACACATTTTGTTTCATGTAAATGATTGCAATCCGCACAATGTAACATCACTTGTCCTGCTTCTAGAAGGCAGTATGTGATGTAAAGCTCAGAAAAATCTTACCAGGCAGAATGAATATCGGGAGCCCAGTAAGATTATGGGCTCAAGGAATGGAACAAGTGCAAGAGTGGGAGAGGAAGAGACAGGGGTGGAAGAGCAGATGGGAGGATAGGGCCAGATTGCAGAAAACACTATAGGGGTATAACTTATCTCCTAGATGGAGTTAGACAAAGGAGAACCAAGATTTGGTTTGCATTTTTTTAAGATTTCAATTGTTGATGCTGAAGAATGGATCAGAGAGGTCAACCATGGGCAGGAAGACCACCCCAGGGACTCAGACTGGAGATTGTCAAGCACCTGGGTAGCTTGGTGCCACAAAACAAACACTAACCTGGGAATCTGGTCCTTTGCCCTGAAATCTAGTCCTGATCACACCACTCACTAGCTGTGTGACTTAGAGCAGTAGCTGTATCTCTCTGAGCTTTAATGTCTTTATTTGTAGAACAGGGCTAAGCACAGTCATGCAGTCTCCTTCCTTGGGGTGTAGCGAGGGTTAAGGGCCAGGGCTAAGGGCCAGGGTTTTATAAACCATAATGGGTGAGGTCCATAGGTTGGGGCCACTGGACCTGTCTCCCCACCCCTGCTCTGTGCTCCCTAATCCTCTAGGTCTGTGGTCCCAGTTAGACTCTCTGATCCCCAGGGGCTACCCACACCTCTCCCCAACTAGTGTCCCTCCATTTTTTTTTTTTTTTTTTTTGCATCTTCTTTTTAAAATAAAAACGCTGGCCGTTCGTGGCTGACTGCTGTTTATGCCTCAGTAATACATTATGTATTATTTTGTCTTAAGCACAGCTTTTGCATCCTGACAGTAACAATAAAATGTGACTATGGAATTGCTAATACAGACAGACTAATGTTTCCATCGCCCGCCTCTTTTTTTTTGCGTCCTAAGCACTTTTGAAAAGGCTCCTTTTATATTCCTAATAAAATTATAGCAAAATACATCGATTTACTGGAAAAGAGTTTAGGGTCGGGTTGGGTTTTTTTCTCCCCCTCCTCCTGTGTGGACTTCTTATTTTTTCCCCCCAGAGGTTGATGAATATTGAGAATCAGACCTTCTAAATGCTTTTTGACCCTCGACCTCAGTTGCAGTGAGCCACCATTGGAGTGACCGTGGCTTCCGAAGGGTTTTATCTGAGTGTCGAGAAGTGGGGTGTACCTGTGTGTATGGAGGGGTGTCCATGAATTGAGGAGTGTGGACTATGTGCTACATGTCTGTGCACTTAGGGATTGAGGGAGATGACTGTCTCTACATTGAGCCTGTATATATGTTGGGGAGCCCATATGTTGAGGCGTATGGGTCTGCGGACCTATGTCTGGGCATGTCTACCTGGATGGATGTTTTTCTGTGGGAGGGTTGAGGAGTTGTAGGTGTTGAGGTGTGTGTGACTGTGTGTTAGTGTTGGTAGGTATTCTGGGGTATTTGGGGGCTTATGGGGGCACATGAGTCCCTGGGGTCTCTGACATTCAGAATTGGGTCTATGCTGTTACATTGTGAGGTGAACTAAGGATTGTCAGTACTGGTTCTTCCTCTCTGAGGGATGGATGTTCTTTGTCTTTAAAAAGTGATTCGTATCAGTCTCTTTCCACCTGAAAAACAGGGTCTTGTTCTAGCACCACAGGTCCTTTCTCATGCTAGTAGAATGCTTGTGAAGGTGTGTGTGCACGTGTGTGAGCATGTATGAGCATATTTGTATATGATGTTAATGTGAGTGAATTTGTGTGTCAGTGTATACACACATGAGTGTGAGAGGATTTTTGTGAATGTGTATGCAAATGTGTATCTATGTGAGTGTCTACATATGTGTGTCTGAGTATGTGTGTATATAAATGTGTGTATGCATATGATTATATATATGTGTGCGAGTGTCTGTGTGTGCATGTATGTGTGTGAGTATATGTATGTATGTTGTGTGTATGTGTGTGTATGAGTATGTATGTGTTGAGTATGAGTTGTTAAGTGCCGTCAAGTCTGTTCCTACCCATAGCGACCTTGCTTAGGGTTTGCAAGGAGTGGCTGGTGAGCTTGAACCGCTGACTTTGCACTCCAGTGCTTAACCCACAGCACCACACCAGGATTCCTGAATATGTGAGTGCATGTGTGTATGCATATGTGTATATGTGCACATGTGTCTGCAGGACTCCGTGAGCTCCAGGTGGATGTCAGGGGCCTGGCAGGTTGGGTCCACAGGTATGGCAGCCTTCCCAGACTGATGAGGCTGTGCCCAGCTCCCCGGCTGCCTGAGCTGACAACCAAAACTAGCATCAGGGAAGACGGGGTGGCTCTAGCTGCCAGTAGCCTCCTGGGCAGGGGTAAGGAGTGGCAGCAGACAGGGGAAGAATCCTGGTCCTATTAGACAAAGAGGCTGTGGTTAAAGAGAAAGAAAAGGCCTCTACTTTCCCCCTCCCCTGTGGGCCCAGGGAGAGGATGAGAGAGCCCACCTTTGCCAACATCCCTGCAGGAGTCCTGGTGGGACAATGCTGAGCCCAGTGAAGGAGGTAAAACTTTCTGACCCTGGGTGTACACCTGGGGCTAGACCCTGAGCTCTCCTTTTAGCTCCATATTGCCTTGTTTTGTGGGTCCAGATGTTGCCCCCCCCAATCACCCCCTTGCTTTCACTTTTCCCCATGATCAAGAATCTGAGAAGTAGAAACCCCAGGCTCCCTCCACCCTCCTGCTACCCCCCTCTAGGTATTAGAAGCCCAGGATCCTTTGGGATCCCCTGCTGAGGGGGCCCTTCTCAAGCACTGAGCTGGGGCCCTGCAGAGAACCCCAGATTCCCTGTACTTCAACTTAGTCTGAGCTGATTGACTACAGCCCTGCTTGCCACTCACCAAGCCTCCCTTCCTTCCCCTTCCCCCTCCCGTTCTCCCTCTCCAGAATGTATGTGGATTTGCACGATTCAGAAACAGGAAAAAAAAAAAAAAAAGAATTGGGTTTTGTATACTAAGCACTTTTGAGGGCAATCTGGAGCCCCCTAATCCAGAGGTTTATAACCTCCCCAGCTAATGCTCCCTGACACTGTGTTTTGATATCATTACTACATTATACTCACAATTTTTGAGTGAAAAAATACAGTACTTAGAAAGTCGAAATTCATAAATAAATTCATGTCAAACCGCACTTAATATTGATTTTGTTAGTGTTCAGATTCAATAATAAGGTACTGCGTGCATGAATATTTAAATATAATCATCATTTCTGCATCTCCTAATGGCCTCTGCTCCTCTACACTCAATTTAAACACAATTTAAAAACTATAATGTATTGAAAAATACTAGGATTTAGCAATAAATCATCATCGGGAGATTCCAGGCCTCTTATAGGGTGGCTCGATATGGCTTTCTCCAGGGACTGCACAATTAGATTCATGTTTTTAAACTTCTCAATTATCCATATACCATAATTTTATGTGAAAGTTTGTT